AAAGCTGAGTAGGTGTGCTAAATTCTTGGGGAAGAAAATAAAGACTGTTGTTTGGCATCAAAGGCTGGACATCCATCTGAGGAGGTGCTAGCTACAATGTTAAATGATTCCAACATCTTAGTTAGTAAAGATTCTTGTCAGTCTATTTGTTCTTCTTGTATTGAAGGGAAAATGAGTAGGCTGTCTTTTCCTATTAGACAAAGTAGTGCTGGTTCTTTGTTTGAAAAAATACACTCTGATATATGAGGACCAGCTCCAAAACAATTTGTAGAATGGTACGAGTTTAACATAAGATTTGTTGATGAATATTCAATATTTGTGTGGATATTTCCAATGTTGAATAAATCAGATGTTTTTCCTGTCTTTGTGAAATTCTGTGCATTTATCTCAAATTAGTTTAATGCTTTCATTAAGTATTTTCGGCTTGATAGTGGAGGTGAGTATGTTAGCAATAATAAGTTCAAGGAATTTTTGGCAAATAAAGGAATTGTACATATGAAATCTTGTCCCTATACTCCCCAGCAAAATGGCATTGCTAAAAGGAAACATAGACATATAGTGGAAACTGCAATTGCATTGATGACAGAAGCCAATTTACCTCAAATGTTTTGGTATCATGCATGATCTCATGTTGCCTTGTTAATAAATAGAATGCCATGCAAGAATTTGAGTTTAAATCTCCATATCAATTAGTTTTTGGCAAGGTTCCTGAGATGCATAACTTCAAAGTTTTTATAATTGCTATACATCCTTTTTCAAGGCCATACAATGTGAATAAATTGCAGTCAAGATCTTCTCAATGCATATTTCTTGGTTATGCATTAGGGTACAAAGGAGCAATTTGTTATGATTTACAGAATAAAAGACTGATATTGTCTAGGCACATTATCTATGATGAAGAAGTTTTTCCATGCATGAAGTCTGTTATTCATGAATCAAAGGTATCCTCAGTATTACAAAATACAAGGTAGGTTCCAATTGTTATACAGTTGCCAATTCCTACTGTTACTTATGTGGAGTTATAAAAAAATTTTGTGCATCAGAAAACTTACTCAAAAGCAACATCAAGTACTGCAACTTAACATCAGTCAAATATAAGTTCAATATCAGATACAGAAATACAATTAAGGACTGATAATGGTTTGAGTTCATTAGATATACAAAATTCATCTTCAACTTCAAATCCCCATAACCATCACTCCAATTCACAAATAGAGGTAATTTTTCCTCTATCACCACAAACACATTTACATTCTGAGATTAATGTTCCTATGCAAGATTCAGTTTCTCAGCATACAATGATTACAAGATTAAAAAGTGGAGCAATTGAAAAGAAGAATTATGCAACATTTCTAGCAAGATTTCCTGAATTACTGTCATTAGAGATTGATGATTATGAGCTATTAAGGAGGTTTTTCATATGTTACTGAGATCACTGATGCTAAATAACCATCTAGTTTTAGAAAAGCTACAAGAATGTCACAATGGCAAAAAATGTTATGCAAAAGAAATATGATTCCCTTAAAGCACAAGGCATTTGGACTTTGGTTCCAAAACCTAGTGATAGGTCTGTTGTTGGAAGTAAATGGGTGTATAAGGTGAAGAAGAATCCATATGGTAGCATTTTAAGGCACAAAGCAAGGTTAGTAGCTCAAGGGTTTTCTCAAGAACATGGAGTGGATTACTCTGAGACATTTAGCCCAATGATAAGGCATACAACAATGAGAATTGTCCTTGTTGTAGCTACAATTAATCATTGGGAGTTGAAGCAATTGGATATTAAAAATGTCTTTCTACATGGAGTCTTGCAGGATGAGGCTTACATAAAGCAGCCACAGGTTTTTGTTGAACCAACGTGTCCTAATCACGTCTGCAAACTCATCAAGTCACTGTATGGACTTAAACAGACACCAAGGGCCTGGAGTCTTGTAAACCTGCTACTACCCCCTTGCAAGCCTCATAACTCTTTACTTGTAATAGAAGGAATACCTTTGAGTGATCCCACATTCTACAGAAGCATAGTTGGTTCTTTGCAGTATTTGACCTTCACTATGCCAAACATTGTCCTTCCAGTTAACTTGTATGCCAATTTATGACTTCACCAACTGACGTACATTTGGGGCAGTAAAAAGAATCCTAAGACATCTTCAAGGGACATTACAGTATGGCATTGTCTATTTTGCAGTGGCAGAACCAACTCTTAATGGTTTTTTAGACTCGGATTGGATACATTGTGTTTCTAGGTAATAACCCCATTTCATGGCAATCGAAGAAGCAAAACTCTGTCTCTCGTAGTTCTACAAAGGTTGAGTATAAGGCCTTGACTCATACGACAATAAATGTTGCCTAGATAAGAAATATATTAAAGGATTTGGAGTTGTTTCTTCCTACTCCTCCAGTTATTCATTGTGATAACATGCCCGCAATAACCTTAAGTGCTAATCCAGTTTTTCACTCTTGGATTAAACACTTTGATACAGATTATCACTTTGTTTGAGAGAAAGTTCAACAAGGTGATTTAGAGGTCAGCTATATTCCCACTTAAGATCAGTCAGCTAACATATTAACTAAAGGACTTCATGGACCTTTGTTTGTTAAACATTGCTACAATCTTAAGCTTGGGAACCCAAGCTGCGATTGAGGGGGAAGATTGACCAAGACAAGCTGGTTAAGAGATTGCTTACGTGGTAATTAGTTATTACTGATGTGGTAGTTAGTTAAGAACTGTTGTAACAGTTAGTTAGAATTGTTAAAAGTTGTTAGATTGGATAAAATTGTTTTCTTACAGTGCAAGATAGGTTCTCTAAGCCTATATAACATGTGTAAATCATTCATTGTAATCACTTGAGCAATATACAATCTTTCATTTCATTCTCCCTCTTCTATTTGTTTCTTTCTCAGTTCATAGTTTTCTGGTTTACTTTTGCTTCTCTACAAACCTCTGCACTTGTGTTATGAGTCCAAATGCTTTCTTTCCAACAACATACAGAGTTATCTCGTTTTATGATTTGATGATAATATATTGTTTATACTTTGGAAATGTAGTCTATGTGTGTGTATGTATATATAATTTGTCATTTTTCTAATTTGTAAATTGGAATTCTTGTATTCTTCAACATTTATTGCATTATTTTCATATTTCCTACATTATGTTCACGTAATGGTTTAGCGATGAAAATTAGGTATCAAACTTTGTTATTTAAGTTAATTGAATCTTAGACATTAGTTATAAGTTAAGATGCTACCACTAAAATGCTGTGGTAATTGTTTATTTGTATATCTATTAACCAGAAGGTTATAGTTTAGTAATTGCATGGTTGACTTTGAAACTGTGGATGGATAGGAAATTGATGAGATTTGACGCACCTAAGGTTTTGAAACTTTTGACATTAAAATCTTAGTATAATTGGAGGATACAAAAATATTCAGCAAAATTGTGTGCATGAACATAATATTATGTTTCATGATTAAGATCTACCCCTAATCATGTAAATATCATCACCAAATCAGAGCTATGCATGTAGCATTACAATAAATTTGAAATTGAAAGTAAATAGAAATGGCTCGTGGTTATCTCTCCCTCATTACAAAGAACTTAATCGTTGCAGTAGTCATGGCCATCTTATTTTTTTACTTCGTATGCACGTAGTCAATATGTTCGACCTTTAGTTTCCTGCAATTTTCTTTTCTTAATTAAGCACCAAATTAAATTCTTGTTAATTATTATGATTCAATTGTTTTTCAGTAAGCGCCAAAGTATAGTGTCGGGAAAAATGTGAAGATTTTCTTGATTGCAGTGCCTTTTGCCTGAGAGTTGATTTTAAGGCAGGAAAATGATATCCACCACTTTACCAATTTTGTTGTTGTGAAACATAATAGTTGCCTTCTGTATTGAGCGATTGGAAGGGACGGGGAAATAAGTTAAAATTTTCTGCATTCATTTTGTGTGTGGTCCCTCTCTATAACTTATATCATTGATTGACATGTGTTAATAAGTTTAAGATCCTTAATTTTATTGTCATAAACTTAATATACACGTGTCAATCAATGATAGAAACCACAGAAAAGCCACACACAAAATAAGTACACTAGATTTGATCTTCATAGAAAAGGCATCTTATATAATTTTTGGTGTTGTAAATAAACTTCCTTTGAATAAAAAGTAACAAAAACTTTAGAAAGTAACAAACATCTTGTTATTTTAGTTTTTCTTTTCCTTTGATACGACCATATTAATTCTACTTCAAGGGAGGAGTTATATATATATTCTAGTCTAATGGAAAGATATATTCTACTCTAACATCTTCTTGTTTTAGCTTTATCTATCAAAGTCTACACCTTATGATCATGTTTGAGTTTATCGATGAGATGATCACTAAACCATAAGCAACAATAAGAAAATAAGAGATAGTGGATGTGACTTTGTACTAAAGAATGGTTCTATTTTATGATAAGTAAACATAATATTATTGTGCATGACATGAGTTAGACAATTAGTTAGGAGTAGTGTGCTCACCTTTTGCACCGTAGTTCAAATCACTCTCTCATATATCAGAGTTGTTTTATTACAATATTGTCTTGTAAGAAAAGGGTTAAATTAATGTTACGATTTAGATATCCTAACATGAAATGTTCATATTTAATTCCATCACTTGATTGTCTTCTTTCAATAAGCAAAATTTTGTCCATATCGCTCAATGTTATTCAAAAGACTCTTCTTGATAAAGTCGCTCTTGGCACTTGAAGATGATATCTCTAGTATGTAATTCATATGCATCATATTTATGCAAACAAGAGATAGAGAGCAATAGTCACCTCAAGTAATTTCCCCTCACAATACTCCTAAAAAATCTGCATGGGGGTCTAGAATAGAAGATCCATTTTTACAATGATAATTACTTGACCACAAAATAGAGAAAATTGCTCGTTGTGTGACACAACATGTTAATTAGGACTTCAAATGTGGCAATATATAACTAATATCCAGATCAAGATCAAGCAAACTTTTATCTGCATCTGCATGAGAACGCCTAACCAAATAATTTTACAGTGCGAACGATGTCATCCATGAAGCTCATTACAAAGCTCTCCACATACCTTCTAGGCAAAACAATAACCAACAATGGCGTTATGACCAGCCTAAGCACTAGAGGTTTTGTCATTGTTCCCACAAGACCTATGCAAGTGAGTTCTAATTCCTTGCATGAGTACATATGTATGTGTTCCATTTATAGCAAAATAAACGACTGTATGGAACCGGATATCAATTTGAAACACGCGGTTTTGTTATACCTAATTGATATTTTGCCTCAATTCATGTTGTTTGATCGATATTTGTAATATTGAAATTAACATTTGATCAAATATTGACAACACATTAACTATCTGTAGATTGGTATGCAGTACCATTCAGTCATTATTTTTACAACAATTTAGTCAGTGTTTTGATAATAATGTGTGCTAGGCATGCAGTGGGCGCAATTTCTATTAGCAAAATAAAGCCACATATCAGGGGATGGGAGGGAATGAAACGCTTTACATAACATAATAACTTAACCTAATAGAACATTTAGACTGTAGCTTCCCAATAAACAAGAAAATGTGGGAGGTCCCATGTTCGATGTTTCGAGCTGGTGAGTCTGCTTGACTATGGCCATGGGCATGGTGAAATCCTCCATAGCCTCTTCGAGCCCCGAAAAGGGTGGATAAACCGTAGCTTGTGGCCAATTGTCCCATTTTTTAGGGGAAAAAAAAAATTAACCTAACAAAATATTTCTCATTTCACCTAAAAGATTAATATGATTATTTTATTTTATTTTTGCGCTAATTAAATCTAAGAAATTCTTGTGATTGTTACCCACTTATTGGTGATATGGTGTTTGGGCTTAGGGCATGTTTAGTATGACCTCAACGATGTGAAACTAATTTTTTGTTGGAACATGAATGAAAATGTTAATATTATCCTTTTAACCTTAAATAAATAAAATAATGTATATCTAAAACCTGTTTTTCTTACTTCCAAAACATGCATAGCATGTCTTGAAAATTATAGTTATTTATAGTCGTGGATGTTACTGCTTAACAAATTTTGGTAAATCACAGTCGAAGAAGGAAGATGACGAGGCAGATGCATGTGCAAAGACGAAAGAAGCAGCAGATGCTGTCAAAGATGGAGCCAAAGAAGTGAGACAAACATGTGAGTTCATGAGAGACACAGTGGAAACGACTGCCAAATCCGTAAGCATCGATATTCATTTACACAATCATGCTTAAATTAGTACAACCACAATGATTTCAAGGAGAAATTATTGGATCGTCGATTCTAATTGTAAAAAGTTTTCAATGCAAAATTTACATATAAGAATTGAGCGTCTCACACGGTTAAAGAAAAACTAAAACAAAAAATAGTTCTTACATTTCAATCGGTGTAGAGGTGTCAAGCGAATAGCTAACCTTTTGTATATGAGGCCGAAGTGTAGGCCTGACTCATTACCTATGTCCAGCCTTGTCTAAAAGCAATATTGTTATTTGTATATTTGTTCATTTGTTCGTTTAATTTTTTTCATGATTTGTTAATTTATGAGTTGATACCTGATTATAAGAAGCAATTTTTTCTCAAATTTTTGTATGTTTTGAAAATCAGATGAACAAAATGGCAAAAGAGACAACAGAGAAAGTAACTGAAACAGCAGAAACCCTCACCAACAAAACAAAAGGCACCGTCTCAGGCGCATGGGGAATGGCCAAGAATACTACGGAGATTATCAAAGACAAAGTAATGGGCAAGTGAAAAAAAGAAGTATGAAGATTAGCAACAACTAATAAATCTAATTTACAAATTCTTAACAACTATTCCATCATTTAATGCGAGTTTCTTTACATAGCATTCTGAAATTAATATTTCAAAGGAAATGAATTCTATACTTACTCCTTGAAACACTACAAATGACACACCCCAACCCGGAAAGTCTAGTAGGACTCCGAATCGAACTGTACTGATCGACACCTGGAAGGTGACAAAGCCATAAAGTGTAGTGATGAGGAAGTGTGAATAAATTTAAACCTAAAAGTGCCTAAAAACGAGAGTGCGCTGTGAGCGGGAGTGAACCCATTTCACATGTGATGTCAGAGCATAAGTCAAGTACAGTAGAGTGGATTGAGAATCATACCCTTGAAGTTAATTTCAAATACCAAGATTTGCCACGAATCCTCGTCGATAAGAAAGCTCAGCTAATAAAACCTGGAGGGATATAAACAAACCGGAGTAAGTGGGCCTGAAAACAAAGTTTTAATAAAGATCTTCTCTAAACGTTATAACCCTTCGCTGTAACACCTGTTTAGTTTCCAGAAAATCATACTATGTGTAAGCATGAAATCAATTGTATACTAACAATAAATCCAGAAGTATACCACGACACAGCCTCTCATCAGTAATATAAATTATCAGGTGCTTAATAATCCATACTAGAACGCAAGTCGAAGTCACCTAATGTGACCTGTACGACTGCACTCATATCTCATCAATCAATGCTAGCACATAAGTCGGAGTCACCTATAGTGACCTGTACGACTCACTCATATCTCATCAATCAATGCTAGCACATGAGTCGGAGTCACCTATAGTGACCTGTACGACTCACCCATATCTCATCAATCAATAGGGTTGTGTCAGTCGGAGTCACCTAACGTGACCTGTACGGCTGACCAATAGTGTTATGTCAGTCGGAGTCACATAACGTGACCTGTACGGCTGACCCTCATCACAACTATACTCACTGAAATTTCTATCATCAAGGTACTCACCTGAAGCTTACATGGGCGTCTGCAGCGTCATTTGGCATAACCACTTTAACGTCCCAACATTCTTAATTGGAATTATACCCAGTGATAGGCCAGAATAAATTCATGGTTAACCTCTACGCTATTAACCATCATAACTTATTTCCTTAAAGAAATCAAGTACCATGTTAAATTCAGATTGTTTTATGGCTACATCTAACTGTCTTGTTAGATTGCCTACATACCCTCAAACAGGATCAAGCCATTCGTAGTTCAACTTAGTACTTCAATGCATTCACAGTAATTATATGTAAGTAATATACATATAGATATACAATAATGTGATCTAAAACTCAATCGTACCATAGGATTTTAACATATATATATACCTATATAACATGGCATAAAATGCATAGGACAATTTAAAAGTATTTGTGGAATTATCACTCATATATATACGATAAAAAGAAAAGACCCATTCACCTGAAGTCTGCGCTACAATTCTCTAGCCCAAAAATCAAGGCGTCACAAACCATCGTCACCTAGAACAATTATCAAATAACGTCACAAAATTCTTATCGATATAACACGTAACTTATATAAAACACATCCCCAAGGACGTTCTAGAATGATTTAAGACCCATTGACCAAAAGTCAACTATCGGTCAAAGATCGACGGTAGGGTCCACAACCCTACGTAACTCGATCCGGAAGATCCGCATCACATATTTCCGATCCATAATTTATAAAGCTCCACATTATACTTCTAGAACAACATCTTAAAGTTTCGGAACGATCCAACGGTTGGATCTTAGCCAATTGCCAAAACCAAGTGGCGATTAACGTTTTATTTTACGAACTTACCAATCCAATTCGGAAAGATCCGTGCGTCGGATTCCAAATCCGTAAGTTCCTATAATCCTCAAATATTATGAACAATAACCTATTAAATTTGGATGACGATCCAACGGTTGGATCGTCAATTCATATAATGACCTAATCATGTATTGTAGAAAATTTAAGTTCTAACGATCAACCTGAGTCATACTATTGTCAGAACTGAATTCAAGGCATCTAATTTAGCCTAAGAATAGCATCGATGACCCCCTGGCCACGCGCCGCCGTGGGTGGTGGTCGGCCGCCTCGACTTGCCAGAAAATTCAACTATTTTAAAAAATTCCCAAATTTTACCGAAATGAAGATTTCCAAGAGTAGAGCAAGTTTTATACCTGTGATCAAGTCCAATTTGGCCGGGAAAGGCTCCAATTTCACTCAAACCAGCCGGAACCTTAAAATGGGTGAACTTCTATTCTCCTTCCTCAATGTTCCAACGCCCCTAAAATTGTTTGGGCTTTGATCTAATCCTCAAGGGTAGTCTAATGGTGGTAGTAATTGGAGGAAAACATTTCACAATTGGTGGATTTCGACAAGGTTGACTGCCGCACACGTGGTGGGTTTTTCACCAAACTACAACCGTTTTTCTTCTGATTTTGGATGGAAAATGGTAGAGAGAAGGTTGTGGATGAGGTTATAGGTGATGGATAGGTGAAAATCGCTTGAAAAACGGTTGAGACCGTCGGAAAACACCCCGGGTCGAAACTGGGATATGTGTGTATGGATGGTCGATGGGAAGGGGAGAAGGGAAATCAGTTTCTCTCTCCTCCTAATTGGTCCTCTCACTCCAACCTTTATTTCTAATTGGCCATAATAACACAACCTGATTGGGCCTTTTTCCCACGAGGTGGGAGTTTAATTATTTCCTAAACAAATATTTGAGTAAACAAATTTCAAACGTTCGTAACTATACCGTTATAATCCAAACTCGCAACCAGATTTCGCCTATGCGTTTGTACCAACGAGTACTACACAAATGTGCTAAAGGAATAAGTCATACGTTTCTCTAGACGATGCTCAACGTAAGTCAAAGTCCTTGCCCCTAGGGCATTTTCGTCAATTCCCTCGATCAAAATAAATAAAAACGTAACTTTAGGGACGGGTTGTCACAACAAATCCAAAGATCCTCTTATTGTTATGATTTTAATATCAAAATAAGAATTTTGCTACAATACTACATGTATTTAATACAACCACCATCTCGACCGTCAAATGGTAATTGCATTGAATACATGTATTCACATGAATATAACTGACCATTAAATGGTGATTGTTTCAAATACATGTAAGTATTATAGCCAATAATAACAAAAATAATCTTTATGTTGAAGTAAAATAATATTTAGAGAGAAATGGGAGAAGGGGTTCATCTATCTAGCTTGATTGATTTCTCCTTGGTCTTGTGCCTTTATTTATACTAATCAAGATGGACTTTACGTGTCCTCAATTAGTACAAATCATGCTTGAAAATGGTCTTTTAGATCTTATAAGATTCCTATTTCTAGTTTACATAATCACATTCCTATAATAATACTAATTGTAATGCTCCACCATGAATGTGGAGAACTAAAGAAGTATTCGAATTAGGTCTTTAGGCAAATGTGGAAGCAGTTGATGAAGTCTTTTCGTCAAGCACATGCAATGCATATACCAGTCTCACAAGTAGGGATGCATATAAAAGTATAGTCTTACCAAAACCTGGCTACGATAAACCCAATGGACAAATCCCTAGTCTAAGGAGAAAATGTGAGTTAATGCAATGTTGATTGTTGAGGTGAACAAGTGGAGGTAAACACACATGTCAAGGTATGACCAGCCCAATATGGGACCTAATACCTCGTCAGGTTAGCAAAAATCCAGTAAGAAAGTGCTCCTGATCTAAGGAAAAAATGATTACATTAAGGTCAAGTGAATATATGTGACAACCCGTCCCTAATTTTACGATTTTATTAAATTTTCAAGGAATGAATTGATGAAAATGACCCTAGTCGCGAGATTGTTGACTTTCATTTACTGTCATTTTGTGATGAGTACGAGCTACTATTTTACCATATTCTCAAAGTACTTGACGGTAAGAACGCGTACTTGTACACATAATTGAAATCGAAACTATGACGGAGGTTTTACGGAACTACGAATTCGAAAAATACTTTTGTAAAGAATTACTATTTTATATTTTATATATTTTTCATAATTATTACATTGTTATTTTAATAATATATTTTTATTATGTTATTATTATAATATTATTTGGAGGATATTTCTAATATTTTAATAATTTATTTTGGTCGTGGGGCCCACATCTCACAACTCTGGAAACCTCTCTTGTTCTCATCTCTCTACGTTCTCCCTCTCCCGCACTTTCTCTCTCAGATCCGTTCCTCCCTTTGCAACATTTATCAGCCGTGAGGCCGAGATCGCCACCACCACTTGATCTCAACACCACCAACCTGCAAACCTTGTTCCCCTCCTTGATTTAAATCAGAAAATAAAAAACGAAGCTCCGATATCGAACCCATGCCATACATCTGAGCCTAGTTTTGGTGGGTTAATTTTTCGACGATGGTGAGTCTCGAAAACAACTTAAAACTTAGTGGATTGTGTTTTGGTATGTAATTCTAGCTTTTCCTAAGGTTTTTGGTGGGGGTTTTGGCACAGAAATTCCCTAGTTTTCCGGCGGATATCCAGTAATTTCAAGCCGTTTTCCAGCCAACTCCGGCCACAATCGAGTAAACCAAAGGTATATTCTGATTCCTTGTTCTCTAAGCTTCGATTTGATATATTGGAAGGCTAGGTTTAGTAAAGTTTTGTGGTTGATTGGAGATGGAGACAAACGGGTCAAACCTGACCTAGTACATAAATAAAATAAAATAAAATAAAGAGGAAGCCCAGATTCGCGACCCGGATTCGAAATTTTTTCGGAAACCCTCCTAGGCTAATTTCAATGCCCTGAGTCCGTTTTTAACATCCATTTAGTGAAATTTCAAAGTTTTAATGTAATTGATCGTTGGGGCTGCTCTGTTGACTTTTAGAGTTGACCGTTGACTTTTCGTCGACTTTGTGTAAAAACTTTTGCGGACCCTCTTAGCATGGTTCGACGCTCTGATTCCAAATTCGCACTATGTTTTCCCAAATTTAGTCATTTTAGTTGAGTTTTACTAACGGGCCCCAATGATATGCTTAGGTGCGATTATTATCAATGACTCCAGCTTTCCTAATTTGAACAGCTGCGACCTCGCAAATATCTGTG